TGCAAGAGTGCCCTGCCTGCCGCCTCCAGACCCAAAAGAACGCCAACGACAGCGTTGCAGCAGAATGTCCTCCCGTGCCACAAGAGTGACACTGGCGCTGTCGTCCTCCGCTCTCCCGGATTGTCGCTCCACCCAGCTCCATCATCTCGTGATCCGGGTTGGGGGGGGGGGGGGGGGGGGGGGGGGGGGGGCATTCAGCATTATTATTAAGATTTAGCCAAACCTATCTCTTTAAGGATTCACATGTGAGGCTATGTACTAAACAACCAAAGATTTCAAGACCAAGGGCTGGTTTATACTACGGGTGTGTTCGTAAATTTACATCTGGAGTGCCAGAGTGTGCTCTGGGCATTCTTAAACTCAGAGCGTTGTCAGATTGGCCGTTCATAAATTAAGAGCGTTTTGCTCTCTGAGCACACACTGGACGCTCTGGCCGAAAAGTAGGGTTGATCCGAGCATTCTGACCTAACAACAGCAGTCAAGCACCCAAGCTAACTGGCTAATGTTGGCTATCTTGCTAGCTACTTCCAGACACAAATGAGAGAACAGCTCACTCTGACCATATTACTCGCCTTAGCAGAGATGGTTATGCTGTTTTTATGTTATCCAGAGTGTTGGTGACTGCAACTGTGCTGCTAGCAAACAATTTAATTAAGCTTTTTTTGCTAACGTTTACTGACACGGCCATATTCAACTGGTGTTGAGCGTTCGTAAATTCGTCAGCTATTCTGCACTCTGCTCTGAAGTAGATAGCCAGAGCGAATTTACCAGCTACGTCTATCGACAGTTGTCGCAGTGACATCATAAACATTCTATTGAAATAGTTACTTGCATAGTGGAGTCTTTTGTTTAGACATGTAGCTAGCTAGCTAAACAATGAACCATAATCCCAACTCATAACGTTGCTACCCTGCATAAATCTGCAGGTAGCTAACCAACCAGGTTCAATGTTAGCTAGCTAACATTAGGCTATAACTAGCAATGCAAATGGCGGTGAGATACGAATAATATTACTACACAGATCATACATGTAATGTTAGCTAGTTAGCCAGCCAGCTAACGTTTGCTAGCTAGCTAACAGTACACTTTAACTTGAAATGAAAATGACTTTCTGACAACATTAGGAACATGTAATATCTGAATATGTAGCTAGCTAGACTCTCCTACCCGTATACATGGATGGACGCTTCTCCCTTTCTGTGACGGATGCCATGGTTGCCCTTAGTTTGAAGATGTAATCCGGAGCCTTCTGTGTTCTCTTTTTGACTCTGTCTGCATATTTGCAATCAAATGCCAGAATTTCTCCATCTCCTTAGCTATCATACTCTAATTCCACAGATTTCAAAACTCTGTCCTCCAGAAAGTGGAGAGCAACACTTAACCAGTTCTACTATGTGATATCTTTCAAAAAAGCCGCGTTAGAAAGGATTACCTACACATACTGACCAGCTCATATTATAGACAGAATCATGCTACATGGCAGACCAATCCAAACTCATCTCTCGGCATGTCCAGCCCACTCATTACCTCAGCCAATCATGGCTAGTGTGAAGGTTGCTGTCTTTTTCCATGGCTAAACCAATTAGGCTCGTAATGTAACAATTGTATTCATATTTACAGATGGCATACAAGTTTGTCATTAAGGCACATGAAAGTTCACATTTTCCAGAAGGCATTTCCGCCAAAACACGCATTTTGATTTTAAAAAAAAGTTTTTAAAAAGACGCGCGACACATGCCTAGTTTCCTGAAACGAGTCACATATTGTTAAGTACCTCAGTAAACATTTAGGTCATGTAACATAATTGATACATTGACAAGTACAGTTGCTTTAACAAAAAACAAAAAAAGAGTGTTTGCAAAGCTGTCATCAAGGCAAAGGGTGGCTACTTTGAAGAGTCTCAAATATAAAATATATTTTGATTTGTTTAACACTGTTTTGCTTACTACATGAGTCCATGTGTTATTGCATGGTGTTGATGTCTTCACCATTACTCTACAATGTTGAAAATAGTAAAAATAAAGAAAAACCCTGGAATGAGTAGGGGTACTGTGTATATATATATATATATATATATATATATATATATATATATATATACATACACTTGGTCAAAAGTTTTAGAATAATAGTGAAGACATCAAAACTATGAAATAACACATATGGAATCATGTAGTAACCAAAAAAGTGTTAAACAAATCAAAATATATTTTATATTTGAGATTCTTCAAATAGCCACCCTTTGCCTTGATGAGAGCTTTGCACACTCTTGGCATTCTCTCAACCAGCTTCACCAGGAATGCTTTTCCAAATATGCTGAGCACTTGTTGGCTGCTTTTCCTTCACTCTGCGGTCCAATTCATCCCAAACCATCTCAATTAGGTTGAGGTCGGGGGATTGTGGAGGACAGATCATCTGTTGCAGCACTTCATCACTCTCCTTCTTGGTCAAATAGCCCTTACACAGCCTGGAGGTGCTGTTGAAAAACAAATGATAGTCCCACTAAGAGCAAACCAGATGGGATGGCGTATCGCTGCAGAATGCTGTGGTAGCCATGCTGGTTAAGTGTGCCTTCAATTCTAAATAAATCACAGACAGTGTCACCAGCAAAGCACCCCCACACCATAACACCTCCTAATCCATGCTTTACGGTAGGAAATACACATGAGGAGATCATCCGTTCACCCACACCGCGTCTCACAAAGACACAGCGGTTTGAACCAAAAATCTCCAATGTGGACTCCAGACCATGTGGACTCCACCAGTCTAATGTCCATTGCTCGTGTTTCTTGGCCCAAGCAAGTTTCTTCTTCTTATTGGTGTCCTTTAGTAGTGGTTTCTTTGCAGCAATTCGACCATGAAGGCCTGATTCACACAGTCTCCTCTGAGCAGTTGATGTTGAGATGTGTCTGTTACTTGAACTCTGTGTAGCATTTCTTTGGGCTGCAATTTCTGAGGCTGGTAACTCTAATGAACTTATCCTATGCAGCAGTGGTAACTCTGGGTCTTCCATTCCTGTGGCGTTCCTCATGAGAGCCAGTTTCATCATAGCGCTTGATAGTTTTTCCGGAATGACTGACCTTCATGTCTAAAAAGTAATGATGGACTGTCGTTTCTCTTGCTTATTTGAGCTGTTCTTGCCATAATATGGACTTGGTCTTTTACCAAATAGGGTTATCTTCTGTATACCCCCCCTACTTTGTCACAACACAACTGATTGGCTCAAACGCATTAAGAGGGAAAGAAATTCCACAAATTAACTTTTAAGGCACACCTGTTAATTGAAATGCATTCCAGGTGACTACCTCATGAATCTGGTTGAGAGAATGACAAGAGTGTGCAAAGCTGTCATCAAGGCAAAGGGTGGCTATTTGAAGAATCTCAAATATAACAAATATTTTTTAATTTCTTTAACACTTTTTTGGTTACTACATGATTCCATATGTGTTATTTCATAGTTTTGATGTCTTCACTATTATTCTACAATGTAAAACATAGTAAAAATACAGAAAAACCCTTGAATGTGTAAGTGTGTCCAAACTTTTGACTGTTACTGTATATATATATATATATATATATATATATATATATATAAATGAAAATCATATAGTGGACACCTAAGCTTTTGTATGCAATGCCCTGATACATTTAGTGCTTAAATCTCTGACAGCTGAACCATGAGGTGGACACAAGGAATAGTGTTTTTTATATGTGTTATAGGCTGTTTTTAAGGACACGTAAATGTGGCTCATTTGGCCAACATCCCTCGTGTATTGATGGTGCTGGCTGGCCAGGTTGGATCTGAATATCCATTAAATTTAGCAAATTTCCATTAAATGTAAATCTTCCCTGTCATGTTGTCCAGCGCAAATTTTCCTACTGGAATCTCTGAATTGCCATTTTGTTTTTAAGAAGATGGTAGAATGTTCACATGAAAATCAGTCGCCAATTGAATTGAAACCTAGCTATAGACACCCTAAAGACTCTGGCAAGTGCTCTAGTCCAGTGTCACTTTGATTATGCCTGCACATCATGGTTCACCAGCAGCCACAAACATCTAAAGAATACGCTACCAGCCAAACAAACTTTTAAGAATTGTACTTAAACTCCCCCCTCATACTCATCTGGAGGTTGAGCATTTTTTCGACTCTATCTCTGTAATATGTCTGTATCTATGTAATTGTACATGTATTTATGTAAAAAATAGGGACCACAATGGAAATAAGTCCCCGACTTTATTGTGCAATCCCGGTCACTTAAAAAAATCTTTGTGTATATCCGTATTGTTTTTTACTGACAAATAAAGTAAATCAATCAATCAAACCAAATTGTGCAGCGGCCAATTGATGGGGGTGCTTTTTTTTATGACACTTTGAGTTGGACCAGCCCCTCCCCCCAATACATTTAGATCTGTCCCTTAGGTAACCAACCAGGTTGTTGGTGGGAAAATTTAACAGGAAGTGTAGCATGATTTAGTTTTCTCCAGCCTATCAGGTAGGTCTGTGAGTATAGACTTGCCAATTTTGCATTTCATGGGCTGAGGACAACTGCACCAGACGTGTAAGAGCTCCTCACCAAGATGATCAAAATTGGAGTGATTGTGGTACTTCTCGGTTTGATGTGTAAGTGAAATTCCAACCTTAAGCTATTTTTCAATCATTAATGGCCTATTTCCTAGACCCTAGTTCTGGACAAAAAAGTATTCTTATTGGAGATTCTAAAAAGCATTCTAAATGGAGTTGGACTAATCTGTGTCTGGGAAAGCAGCCGTTTATCATGTATTTCTAATATGTAGTTCATAATACTAATTTGAAGTGTTAAAGGAAACATGATGCATATGGATAAAAACTGTGGACATAACATTTCACCTCAAACACAACTGAAAGAAAAAATATTTTCCCATTTAAGTTGTTTCTTGTAAATGCATTGCATTATCACTTTATAATGTAGCCAATAGTTTTATTTTAATTGGCATGGTTATAAAATTTGTTGTTACAGATGTGACACAATGCAATGATGTTCAGTATCAAACTCAAGTTCGGGAGGTTCATCCTGGGGACACAGTGACTCTCTACTGTGTTTTTTCAAATGAAGATATCAATATGTTCTGGTACAAACAAATGGTGGGGCAAAAGCCTCAAAGTATTGTAACAATGACAAAATATGATATGCCTGTATGGCACAAGGACTTTAACCATTCACGTTCCAATGTGGAGAAGGCTGATGCTGACGGGATGTATCGACTTGCTATTACAAACATGGACCCAACAGATGAAGCCGTGTACTATTGTGCAGTGAGAACAGCCTATGAAGTCAACTTTATCAATGGGACTCTTTTACTATTGAAAGGTAATCATAGTACCTAAATACTATTAACATGAGTACATTTCCATGTTATTCAAACAGCTCCCTTTGTACCCCCTTTGTGTTAATTGTTTGAATGCCAATAGTAGCATGCACATTAGTGTTATCAGAAAAACCCTTATTAATGTATTCAATTAGCTGACAAAATGTAATGCTTAGAATCTTTGTGAAGCATGTGATATGAAAACATATATACCATTTAGGTAATAATCTTCAGAGGTCACACTACCTTACTGTAGTGCAGAGGCCAGTGTCTGACCCAGTCCATCCAGGAGACTCTGTGACTCTGCAGTGTACAGTACTCTCTGAGACCTGTACAGGAGAACACAGTGTGTACTGGTTCAGAGCCGGATCAGGGGAATCCCATCCAGGAGTCATTTACACCCCTGGGAACAGGAGTGATGAGTGTGAGAAGAGCCCTGAGACTCCCTCTCCTACAAAGAGCTGTGTCTACAGCCTCTCCAAGAACAACCTCAGTCTCTCTGATTCTGGGACTTACTACTGTGCTGTGGCCACATGTGGGGAGATCCTGTTGGGCAACGGAACAAACCTGAATATTGGTAGGTAGTATATATTTATATATCTAAAATCTACAACATTCTTAACAACTGAAGCCATGATTAAAGGTTGAATAGCATCAGTTCTTAAAGTTGTAAACTTAATAAACTTTATTTTACATAAGTATGAATGCCAAAACTATGATTTTGTTTGACATTTCTAGTAAAAGCAACAGATCCTGTAATCATTGCTCTGGGAGTGACCTCGGCTGTCTGTGTGATTGGGATCATTATCCTCATCTGCACCAGACATACTAGACCAGTTTGTGAACATTGTAAAGGTGAGCTGCTTAATGTTGCAAATTGTTGAGGAGTATCTAAAATTGTTCGGTACATTTCCCTTTGCGAGTCTTTAGTCATTTTTATGCTTTGTTTTTATCCATGGAAACAGTGGGTGCTTCTCAGCATATCGGGCACGACAACTCAACTAGAGAATCAAGCAGCCAGGTAAACACAGCAAAGTTGTCTAATCAATATTGTCCAGAAATGTAACATGGCATAACTTTTGTAATGAGATATTTCCTAGATTGATTACTACTCCACCTTGTATTATTATTTTAGGACTACGGATCCCGTTAGGGTTTAATATTGTAAAACAGTTTGATGAAAATATGATTCTTCACAGGATCAAGATGGAGTTACGTTGAATTATGCTGCATTGAATTTCTCTGAGAGGAAAACTAAAAGAGGAGGAAAGAAGAGAGAGTCACCACAGGAGAGTGTGTACTCTGATGTCAGGTGCTCAGACTGGGAGTGAACTACAGTACAGAGGAATACATTTTGGTCAATCAACTATTTTTTAATTGCTACTTTATACTGTAATTGTCAAGACAAACAAGCAACACTCTTTTTGTATCATAGGGCAACAGTGTTTTTCTAATCTCTGCAACCAGAACCAAATCTTGTGAGTAAAGGAACCAGGACTCATCCTCTATCCTGTATTTTATTGTTCATGTTTTCAAGTAATTCAAATATTAATCCCAATTGTTGTTGTAATGTTAAATGAACCTTGTGATTTTTTTTTTTTTTTTTTATCTACTATACTTTGTATAGTATCATTGCATACCACAGCATTTCTTGAGTTCAAATTGGAATGTATTAATCTGTTTATGTACAGTATATTTTGCTTTATTACATTACAAAATGTACCATTACATATTAAAACACATTTCACCAATAAATGATTGTTTCCATGTGACCCAGTGCAGTCTCTCAAAGTTGCATGAATAATGTCATAATGAAAAACCTCCATAGCCCGTACCGCTTCCTGGAGGTCATCTGGGCACCCTTTCCACCCATGTATATCCAACACTCCCTCTTACAATTCATGCAAGATAACCACACTGCAGTTTCACATATACCCTGTTCACTTTGCTAAACTGAGCTGTACTGCACTTCCCTAGTTGCCTGGCAAGCATAAAGATGTAGGATCTTAATTTGATCACACTGTTGCATGAGAACGTTCCTGCAAGCAGGACATTTTAACTTCAAATCAAATTGTATTTGTCACATGCTTTGTAAACAACAGGTGTAGACTAACAGTGAAATGCTTACTTACGGGCCATTCCCAAATATGAAACATTTAAAAAATAATATGCTCTCAATGGTGCAGCTGTAGAACTAATTGAGGATCTGAGGCCCCATGCCAAATCTTTTCAGCCTCCTGAGGGGGAAGAGGCGTTGTCGTGCCTTCTTCACAACTACATTGGTGTGTGTGGACCATGTTAATTCCTTAGTGATGTGGACACAGAGGAACATGAAGCTCTCGACCCGCTCCACTACAGCCCTGACGATATGGATGGGGGAGTGCTCGGCCATCCGTTTCCTGTAGTCCACGATCAGCTCCTTTGTCTTGCTGACGTTGACGGAAAGGTTGTTGTCCTGGCACCCCACTGCCAGGTCTCTGACCTTCTCCTTATAGGCTGCGTCATCATCGTCGGTGATCAGAACTACCACCATCGTGTCGTCAGCAAACTTGATGATGGTGTTGGAGTCGTGAGTGGCCACGCAGTCGTGGGTGAACAGGGAGCACAGGAGGGGACTAAGCATGCACCCCTGTGGGGCCCCCGTGTTGAGGGTCAGTGTTGCGGAGGAGATGTTACCTACCCTCACCAGCTGGGGTCGGCCAGTCAGGAAGTCCAGGATCCAGTTGCAAAGGGAGATGTTCAGTCCCAGGGTTCTAAGCTAGGGCGTCCCTATGGCTCTCCACCTCCCACTTTTCTGTGCGAGGGCTTTTGCCTCTTGCCAGGTCCTCCCTGCTTTACTCAGTTCCTGTAGAGTGGAGCGTCTCCAGTTGGTTTTGGCCTTCTCTGCTTTCTTTTTCCTTGTGGGTTGTAGCCAAGCACTTGTCTTGTTTTGTGTATTGTGTCTTTCCTGAGTGATCCTGCGTGATCTCCATTTTCTTCTCCTCAGACTGATGATGACCTGGCCCTAAAGCAGCTAAAACAGCTATTCCTTGACCCTAAAGGCCTGGATTAGAATAGCGCTGTCCTATGCCATCCTGTTTGTAGGGTAGGATCTCTGTAACATGTGTACCAACACTGTACGTACACTCCACCTGCCTATGTAACCACCAGGTTAATACATAGGTATCATTGGTAGACAATTACCTTTAACTAGGTGTAATATCTGACAAAGGATTACATTATGGTTGGTGTTGTGCCATCATGGTTATTATATTACCTGGACAATAAAGGTACAATGAGCTCAGAACGTTGTGAACTTTTGGTTGGCTATTCCCCTTCACAAAACTATTGGCAGTGACTGACTTTGGCATGACATTGTTATTCTATCTTCTATTCTTTTGTCCAAGCATCTTTTGATTTGGCGCCATCCAGTGGCTGTTTTGTATAGTTGCAGCTAGCGTGTACTATCCTGTGCTACTTCTTTGTTGGTGGTAAAACAGGAAATAGAAAATTATGCAGTTCAGCCTCATTGTTGGAAAAGAGCGACATAATACTGCTGTTTATCTTCTGCCATCCTTCTTGTTAAGCCTTCGTAAAGCACTGCCTGTAAGTACAAATAATTTGATAATTTATGTTCATCTTTTAGTATTGTAAGTATTTTCTGCAGGTCATGTTTTAATTCTGAGTTTTGAAAGTAAATCGATTACATGTATTCCCTCGCTAGCCTAGCCTGCCTGTTAAGTGCAGTTTTGCAGCTAGCTTCTCTCTGCATGTGATTTCTCTTTACACTTAAGTTAGCTTACATGTTACTTAGATACTAATCCTGTTAGAACAGTATTCAATCAGGATACGAACGTTTTCTATGTACAGTGTTGGTCAAGTATTGTACTGTTCACTATGCGACGATGAATCATCGGTTAGACTCTGTTGTGCATTTATATTGCCTTTTAGTCTGGGCTGCTCCAATCATTTCATTTTTCTGTATAGTTACAGTTTTACACAGTTTCAACTATAAAACTGGAGGTTTATAGAAAGCCTATCCCTGACTCTGGTTCAGTTCTTGATTGGAGTTTGGCTGGCTGTCAAATTATGGTTGCATACACCTTAAGGAGGACAGTACAGTAAAAAGGCAAGCGACCAGTTGGCACAACTACTACGGCAGTGGATCCATGCACAGTAAAACAGAACCTGCATCATGGAAGCTAAAGGAAAACAAGACAACCAGACAACCAAGACAACCAGCCAGCTTAGTGCTAGCTGTGCCACTAGAGATCCTGGTTCGAGTCCAGGCTCTGTCGCAGCCGGCCGCGACCGGGAGACCCATGGGCGGCGCACAATTGTTCCAGCGTCGTCCAAGGTAGGGGAGGGTTTGGCCGGCAGGGATGTGGGTTTGTTTCCCACGGGGGGGCAGTATGATTATTTTATTTTTTTAAATACAAAAAATTAAATAAAATTAATTAATTAATTGCATTCACTAACTGTAAGTCGCTCTGGATAAGAGCGTCTGCTAAATGACCTAAATGTAAATGTTCCCAGGTCAGTTCCAGAACGGGATCGTCAAGATCATCAGTTGCTGCAGCTACTAGTGCCCGTGCCAGGGCAGAGGAAGCACGCACCCGCGCATCATTCGCCGACAGAGAAGCGTGGATCAAGGTAGAAAAAGCTCAATTTGAAGCGGAGTTAGATGCATTAAACCTTCATAGAGAGGCAGCCGAAGCACTGGCTCAGGCGGAGATCTGGGAGGCAGCGATACAGCTACAGGATGAGGGACGAACAGGCAAATACGTCAGGGAGCAGGCTAAGCTACATACTAGCCGTCCTTCCTTCCCAAGCCTAGAACCAGCATACGATGACAGTAGGTCGCCTCCCAATCCTGATGACATGCTAGCCACTTGGAAGACCCCAGGTTACGGCAACCCACTCACTCACTCTGAAGAGTGACACAACTCAATGCTCACAGAGAGACACTCACCACAACAATACAGGAATTTCTGCTGCTAAGGCATCACAACTCAAAAGAGAACATGGCCATACATTTACACATGCTCTTATCCAGAGCGACTTACAGTTAGTGAGTGCATACATTATTTTTTTCATACTGGCCCCCCCGTGGGTATCGAACCCACAACCCTGGCGTTGCAAACGCCATGCTCTACCAACTGAGCTACATCCCTGCCGGCCATTCCCTCCCCTACCCTGGGCCAATTGTGAACCGCCCCATGGGTCTCCCGGTCGCGGCCGGCTACGACAGAGCCTGGATTCGAACCAGGATCTCTAGTGGCACAGCTAGCACTGCGATGCAGTGCCTTAGACCACTGCGCCACTCGGGAGCTAGCTCAGCCCTACACCCCTCAGCAACACACAGCTCTAGGAGACCAGAGTCAAGCTCCTAACATGATAGACTTTGCCAAATATCTAGCACGTCGTGAGTTGAAACACACATGACTCACACAGTTCAACGACAAGCCTGAGAGCTTTAGGGCATTGCAGTCCTCATTCAACAATGCTACCAAGGACCTGGACCTCACCGCTAGCGAGGAGCTGGATCTGCTAACAAAATGCCTGGGTAAGGAGTCGTCACAACATGTAAAGAGGGTCCGCTCAGTGCACGTCAACGACCCAAGTGCAGCCCTGAAAAGGGCCTGGGACAGACTGAAGCAGTGTTATGGCTCATCAGTAGTCATAGAAATGTCACTCTTCAAGAAGTTGGACAGCTTCTCCAGAATCTCTAGCAAATAATATTCCAAGCTAATGGAACTTGTAGATCTCCTGATGGAAGTTCAGTCTGCAAAAGAAGATGGAGACTTACTTGCTCTAACTTACCTGGACACCGTCCGTGGTATCAGCCCCATAGTAGAAAAACTGTCCCACGGCCTTCAGGAAAGATGGATTTCCAATGGTTCAAGGTATAAAAAGAAAAAAGCCAGTGCTTTCCTCCATTCTCCTTCACAAAGTTCATATGCGATGAAGCAAGAACTAGAAACGACCCGAGCTTTGCCCTTTCTAATAGTGGCGGCAGTGGACCTGCGAGAAGTGAGTACCCAGCCATGAGGAACATGAGAACCCCTATATCTGTACACAAAATGGACGTCGCCACCGCAGCTGACCCCAACACAGTAACCACAGAAAATAAAGAAGATTGCCCCATCCACAACAAACCACATCCGCTCAGAAAATGCAGAGGCTTCAGAGCCAAAACCATCGACGAGAACAAGACCTTTCTCAAAGAGAAGAAGAATATGCTTCAAGTGCTGTACTTCATCCTACCATCTGGCAAAAGACTGCACCATAGCATTGAAATGTGAAGAGTGTGAAAGCGAAAGGCACAGCAATGCATCCAAGCCCTGCCCCCTGGACCAAACAGCCCCCCAGCTCTATGTCAGAGAACGGCGGGGAGGGGGAAGGAAACCCTACCACTGCACCCGCAATCAGCTCCCAATGTACTGAGGTATGTGGTAAGGGTGTTACAGCCCGTTCATGCTCAAAGATTTGCCTAGTGAGAGTATACCCCAAGGGGCAGCGTGAAAGTGCTGTCAAACTTTATGCTATACAAGACGACCAGAGCAACCGCTCATTGGCAAGATCAGACTTCTTCAATCTGTTCAGTATTCAGGGCAACCCGTCTCCCTACTCTCTGAAGACCTGTGCAGGCCACCTCTCCCGAACAACCGCATGCAGGCGCTCACCCGTCTCACCTCTCTACGCCGTAGCCTGGACAAGAAGCCTGAGATGAAAGAGCAGTTTGTCACCTTCATGGAGAAGATATTCGTAAACAACAATGCAGAACCAGCACCCCCACTGAAGGACGGAGAAGAGTGTTGGTACCTCCCGACCTTCGGGGTCTACCATCCACAAAAGCCGGGTCAGATCAGGGTATTGTCTCTCCCTCAACAACGTGCTGCTCACAGGCCCAGACCTAAACAACAGTCTTCTGGGAGTTCTCATTAGCTTCTGGAAATAACCTGTAGCAATAACGGCAGATATCCAACAGATGTTTCATTGTTTCGTTGTGAGAGAAGATCACAGAAACTACCTGAGATTCTTATGGTACAGAGACAATGACATCACAAAAGACATCATTGAGTACAGGATGAAGGTCCATGTCTTTGGCAACAGCCATCTACGGGCTCAGGCGAGCCGCTCAAGAAGGTGAGCAAGACCACGGAGCAGACACTCGACAGTTCGTGGAGAGACATTTCTATGTGGATGATGGGCACAAGACACAGAGGCCATCGACCTGCTATGGAGAACACAAGCATCACTCGCTGAGTCAAACATACAACTGCACAAGATTGCATCAAACAGTGCGACTGTGATGGAGGCATTTCCCCCAGAAGACCATGCCAAGCGCGTAAAAGATTCAGGCCTCGGAGGAGAAACTACACCAATGACGCAGTCTTGGTTTATGCTGGGAAATAACAACAGACACCATCACCTTCGGAGTATCAGTCAGCAGCAAACCATTCACACGACGTGGAGTCCTGTCAACGGGTAACAGCCTCTTCGACCCTCTCGGCCTGGTAGCTCCAGTAACCATACAGGGCAGAGCCATACTGCGGGAACTCTCCTCAGACACTTGTGATTGGGATTCACCACTCCCCGAAGAAAAGCTGAAAGAATGGGAAGCATGGAGGGACTCACTACAGGATCTGAAGCAGCTCCATATCCCACGCACCTACACTAAGAACTCACTCTCAAAGACAAAACGCACAGAGCTATGTGTGTTTTCAGATGCTTTCAAAAAAGCCATCGGTCCAGAGGCATACATCAGAGCCACTGATGAAGATGGACAAAGTGAAGTGGGCTTTGTTTTGGAAAAAGCCAAGTTAACCCCTCAATCTGAGCCTACCATAAACCGCCTCGAACTATCTGGAGCAGTGTTGGCAGTAGAAATGGCAGACCTCGGGCCTCCCGAGTGGCGCAGCGGTCTAAGGCATTGCATCGCAGTGCTAGAGGCGTCACTACAGACCCGGCTTCGATCCCGGGCTGTATCACAACTGGCTGTGATCGGGAGTCCCATAGGGCGGCGCACAATTGGCCCAGCATCGTCCGGGTTAGGGGAGGGTTTTGCCCGGGCGGGCTTTACTTGGCTCATCGTGCTGTAGTGACTCCTTGTGGTGGGCCGGGCGCCTGCAGGCTGACCTCGGTTGTCAGTTGAACAGTGTTTCCTCCGACATATTGGTGCGGCTGGCTTCCGGGTTAAGCGGGCAGGTGTTAAGAAGCACGGTTTGGCGGGTCATGTTTCGGAGGACGCATGACTCGACCTTCGCCTCCTGAGCCCGTTGGGGAGTTGCAGCGATGAGACAAGATCGAAATTGGGGAGAAAAGAAAGGGGTTAAAATACAAAAGAAAATATATATATATAAATAAAATAAATGGCAGAGCTCACCCTAGACGAAATAGACTAACTTCTACTGTGACAATAAAGTAGTCTTGGGATACATATACAATGAGACTGAACGCTTCTACGTGTATATGCACAACAGAGTCCAACGCATCCGTCAATCAATACGCCAGGAGCAGTGGAACTACGTGCCCACAGAACACAATCCCACCGGCCACGCCTCAAGCTCGGTTCCCGCTTCCCAGCTCACCAGTACATCATGGTTCACGGGACCAGCGTTCCTGTACAAACCTAACCAAGCTCACCCAGAGATGCAAGTTCTCTTAGAGCTGGTCAGTCCAGACTTGTATGGTGAAATCCGCCCCCAGGTGACAAGCTACATCACTCAAGTCAAAGACAAACCACTTACCTCAGAGCGCTTCGAGCGCTTCTCCACCTGGAAATCCCTACTGAGAGTTGTCACATTCCTCATCCATGTTGTTCGCTCTCTCAAGCCAGACCCGACGGGCCAGCCGAATGAATGCAGAGGTTGGCATCATTGCAACAAACTCTGCACCCCAGCAGAGCTGTCTCAAGCCAAGAATATAATCAGCAGGTCAGTTCAAAGAGAAGCCTACCCTGAGGTGTTCACTGCACACAAAGAGAAAATAAACATTTCTAAGAGCAGTTCACTTTCAAAGCTGAACCCCATTTCGGATGAAGGTCTCGTCAAAATAGGAGGCCATCTAAAACATGCATGGCTGGACAGTGGAGAGAAGAATCCACTTATCCTACCAAGACACAGCTACATTTCCACACGGTACTACCACAAGCAGGTGAAACACCAAGGCCGCCATCAGAGCAGCAGGCCTGTGGATTGTCGGGGGTAAGAAGCTCATCAGCTCTGTCTGACACAAGTGCGTCACATGCTGGTAGCTCCGCGGGAAACAGGATGAACAGAAAATGGCAGACCTGCCACCCGAACGACTCAGCACATCCCCTCCCTTCACGTATGTGGGCTTGGATGTCTTTGGCCTTTGGACAGTCACTGCTCGCCGTACCAGAGGAGGTCAAGCTCAAAGCAAACGCTGGGCAGTGCTTTTCACCTGCACGAGCACTCAGGCAGTGCACATCAAAGTCATAGAGTCCATGGACACCTCCAGCTGCATCAATGCCCTCAGGAGGTTCTTTGCCATCCATGGACCAGCAAAACAGCTAAGATCAGATTGTGGAACAAACTTAATAGGAGCCTGTAAGGAGTTGGAACTGGGAAAGGAGCAGAGTCAGAGGCCTAGTGTCCAGAGCTACCAAGCGAACAAGGTTACACATGGGAATTCAACCCTCCTCACTCTTCACACATGGGAGGTGCCTGGTCTCGCTGGAGCCATGAGTACCTCCCCACCTTGCAAAGCTGATGAAAGTGGACTGAAGCACACCGCAACCTACAAGAGGGATATCTCATGCTCTTAAAAGACAATCAAGTCACCCGCAACGAATGACCTATGAAACTGGTCACTTCCACCTTCACCAGCAGTGACAGTAAGGTGCGTAAAGTGGAACTCAAGATTACTGCTGAGGGGACCACTAAGAAGTTCCTGAGACCCGTCTCAGAGGTCATACTCCTTTTAGCCAAAGATGACTGAGGGTTTGCTAGTCTTTGAGGTATGTGTGTAACGTTAATTAATAGTGGCCTCTTTCAGACGCCAGACGGGAGTATTCTGCCTTCTATTCTTTTGGCCAAGCGCCATTTTGAGTTGGCGCCGTCCAGTGGCTGTTTTGTGTAGTCGCAGCTTGCGTGTACTATGCTGTGCTGCTTCTTTGTTGGTGGTAAAACAGGAAATAGAAAATAATGCAGTTCAGCCTCATTGTTGGAAAAGAGTGATGTAATACTGCTGTTTATCTTCAGCCATCCTTCTTGTTAAGCCTTCGTAAAGCACTGCCTGTAATTACAAATAATTTCAAAGATGTTTATCTTTTAGTATTGTAAGTATTTTCTGCAGGTCATGTTTTAGTTCTGAGTTAAGTAAATCGATTACATGTATTCCCTCGCTAGTCTAGCCTGCCTGTTAAGTGCTGTTTTGCAGGTAGCTTCTCTCTATGTGTGATTTCTCTTCACACTTAACTTATCTTACATGTTATTTAGATACTAATCCTGTTTGAACAATATTCAAGCAGGATACGTACGTTTTCTATAAACAGTGTTGGCCAATTATTGTATTGTTCACTATGCGATTATGAAACATTGGTTAGACTCTGTTGTGCATTTATATTGCCTTTTAGTCTGAGCTGCTCCAATAATTTCATTTTTCTGTATTGTTACAGTTTTACACCGTTTCAACTATAAAACTGGAGGTTTATGGAAAGCCAATCCCTGACTCTGGTTCAATTCTTGATTTGAGTTTGGCTGGCTGTCAAATTATGGTTGAATGCACCTTAAGGAGGACAGTACAATTATCGAAAAGCTGTACAAATAGCAATGAAGCCTATTTGACATTACCATCTTGTAAAGCACTTCAGGAAAGAGTTGCAGGCCTCTATATAATAGATACATTGAAAAGTACAGCAACTTTAGCAAATAACAGAATAGTGGCCTAAATGAATAACTGCAGGTGTTTGGGTAACCAAAAACACTGTTGCTAGTTCGGAAATGTAACAGGAAGTATTGTGTTTTTTACACCAGCCTATCAGGTAGGTCTTTGACTTCAGACCTGCATATTAGTACATACTTATTTCAAGCATTTATCCAACGGTCAGAGGACTAACCTGAAGTCGGAGCTACACACCAAGATGATCCGGATCTGGGTTGTTGGGGTATTATTCAGTACAATATGTAAGTTTTGCAATTCATACCTTGACCATTCTGTTCAGTTCACAATGTAAGAATTTGAGGGGGAAATGGTCTTTATGGGGTTTCTGATGCTGCTGAGCTTCCTTCAGGCCTAGTTCCTCTGATTTAACCTTTCAATCTGTTATGCATTTTTAGATGTGACACAATGCAACAATGTCCAGCGGCATATTCAAGTTCAGGGGGTTCAAATTGGTGACTCTGTGACTCTCTACTGTGTTTTCTCAAAGCAAGTATTCAATGAGGGAAACATGTTCTGGTTTAAGCAAATAATGGGGCAAATTCCTCAAGTTGGTGCAAGCATGCAGAAATATGAGTTGAAGCCTATATTGTACAAGGAATTTAACAATTCAAATCTCATTGTGGAGAAAGCTGAAGCTGACGGGACATATCGTCTCACAATCCCAAAGATGGAACCAATGGATGAAGCTGTTTACTATTGTGCAAGTAGGACAGATTATGAAGTCAACTTTATCAATGGGACCTTTTTAGTATTAAAAGGTAATGAGAAAATATTAATGCCCTTTATTTTTTGTTCAGTGTTCTTACATCTTCATATGTTTTCTATGTGTCTGTATGATTTTATAGATTCATTGTTTCAGATTGATTTATATGAAACCATAAATGTACCATTTAGGAAAGAATCACCAGAGGTCTGATTACAAGACTGTGGTACAGCAGCCAATGTCTGACCCATTCCACTCAGGAGAAAATGTGACTCTGCAGTGTACAGTGCTCTCTGAGACCTGTACAGCAGAGCACAGTGTGTACTGGTTCAGAGCAGGATCAGGAGAATCCCATCCAGGAGTCATTTACACCCCTGGGAACAGGAGTGATGAGTGTGAGAAGAGCCCTGAGACTCCCTCTCCTAAAAAGAGCTGTGTCTACAACCTCTCCAAGAACAACCTCAGTCTCTCTGATGCTGGGACTTACTACTGTGCTGTGGCCACATGTGGGGAGATCCTGTTGGGCAATGGAACAAAATTGGACATTGCCACTAACAAGAAATGGAACGAGTCAGGTAGAATCAGTTTAATTGAAGTGTACAGATGTATGATCTTAATTTGAGCCAGTTTGCTACAGAAGGAAAATAATCCTGCAGCAACAGGAACTGTGGTTTATTATGTGGATTATAATTAATGGACATTTTTGTAGGGGTTGATACATTTGTAGATAGGGCAAATAAGTCTGAAATTACAAACTTTAGAAGCCTTTATAAAACTCAAATGCACAACAAGTTCTCAGCAACATAAGAGTGATCAAATTAAGATCTTACATCTGTAGGCCTAATGTTTTAAAGTACATCATTCTTTTATAGTGCCAATATATTAACCTACATTTGGCAATCTATCTTTTTTTGGGGGGGGTAAAAATTATGATAGATACTTCATGACATTCATTTTTATTTTTGTTGCAGAAAGCGCTCTGGTAGTGGTTGTTGTAGGTTTGGCAGTGGCGTTGGTGTTGTGTGGGATTGGGATCATCTTCCTTGCCTGCACCAGAAGTAAAGAGCAAGTCTGTGAAAATTGCAAAGGTAAGCAATACAATTATGAAAATATGCTAGATAACTTTTGCTACCCTGAAGTTACAGTAGTTTTGAATTGGTATGGACATTTATCTTGTCTTTCGTCCCTGTCTGATGAAAACCTTGTAACTCCATTTTTGCCAATGTCATGTTTTTTACATTTATTGAAACATGGTCATTTTTCCCATTTCCTGAAAAGTTTGTTTTGGAGATGATACATTTTCATCAGACAGCGACACTTAGTTTGATTTAATTGTTGTTTTCTATTGAAGCAGTAGGTGCCTGTCGAGAAGGCAGACATTACGGATTAAGGGGAGAACAGGTATATTTTCATTGTGAAATGGTTCAATTCCAATTATAGGCTGAAATTCCTCAATGACTCTACTGTATAGCTCATGATAACCCTTGAAAACTACTCTGTGATTAAAAATAAGCCAGTAATTATATATTTTCCAACCAATATGTGGCCAACTGTCTCATAGAAACATTTTGTATTTCTGTGAACATAACCTTTAATGGTTTGAAAATGTAATATGAACAGCATGTAACTGAGAAGTATTTATGTGCAATAATCATGGTGTTACTATGTTTCTAAAATATGTTCCTCCTTAGGATCAAGATGGAAATATGTTGAATTATGCTGCATTGAATTTCTCTGAGAGGAAAACTAAAAGAGGAAGAAAGAAGAGAGAGACACCACAGGAGAGTGTGTACTCTGATGTCAGGTGCTCAGACTGGGACTGAACTTAGCTTAATCATTCTAAAATGTAATGTTAATAATACATTTTTTCTTGTAAATGTGTTAGTTAGTGCCCCTTGTACAAAGAGAATTAGAAAATATGAGAATATGACAAATGTAATAAATGTTTGATAAAAATCATGATGAATCAGAACACTCATTGAAAGAAAAGCAATAGTTTTTCTTAAAGGGATATGTTTTTCAAAAAAACATATTTCAGTATTATGTTTATTATTCCACTGTTGATACAGTCCCAAACAATTGTGCATGTAAGAAGTTAACAAAATAGAGCACTTTCAGTAAACATTGTGTGATGATCTTGTGTTTTGAATCATACGCATTTTGAATCATCATCATCACACTTTTAGCTTTGTACTGAAAGTCCTCTATACTCGTCAAAATCATGATTTAAGACTAGAGACAGGTACCCTGGGATCCAGACCACGTGGTATAAGACAAGCATATTGTGTTCTGCTGAAGCTCTTTTTTTCATTCTTGCTGTTTGGATTAGAAAATAAATGGTCGTAAAGCTAAGGGGCGATGCTCTAGGGCTGTGTGGGTGTTTGAGAAAACAGACGTGGAGGAGAAGCAACCAGTGTAATAGAACAGCCCTCTCGTTATTGACTCATCCTGTTAACAACATCAAAAGAGCCTCCCCAGATGCATAGGTTCTGCCTGGTCTCATAGACTAGACGTAACATAGTAAAAGCAAATCAGGGGCACTAAAATGAGTATGATATGTGACGTTTGGTTTGGTTACATAAGAGAAAATGTTACTTAAGGCAAAAATGAAAGGAGGGTAGTTGGTCAGGGTGGAGAGCAGGTGTATAAAGCAAATGTCTAGCAACCCAAAGGTCGTGTGTTTAAATCTCATCAAGGAGAACCTCAGCATTTTATCTAATTAGCAACTTTTCAACTACTTACCACTTTTTAGCTACTTTGCAACTATTTAGCATGTTAGCTACCCTTCCCTTAACCCTAACCTTAACCCATTAAGCTAACCCTTCCCCTAACCATAACTCTTAAACATAACTCTTAACTTTAACCCTAACACCTAACCCTAACCCAGCTAGCTAACATTAGCGTTAGGCAGCTAGCCACCTAGGTAACGTTAGCCACAACCAATTGGAATTCGTAACATATCATACGTTTTGGAAATTCGTAAAATATTGTACTTTTGCAAATTTGTAACATATCATACGAATTCTAATTCGTAACATATCAATCATAATAGTTGATGGACATCCACAAATTAATACATACAAAATGTATTTACTTTTAATGTATTATTTATTTAATACATACAAAATGCTCTGAGACCAGGGTGGTAGATTAGAATGATGCTGTATGAAACAGATTCCCTTTTCACGCTATGAGCCAAGCTGTACTGGGCTGGCCTGCATACACATCCACCATTGTTTCTAGAACTGTGCTGGAGAGGACAATGTGAAAAGAATTGATATGGTTCATTATGGTTCAGCACGTATGGATGTGGTTAGAGTGTTAGCTAACTGATTCTGAACACTCCAAAATGAAACACAACATAAACCCAACATTTATAAAAGAGGAGGTCCAAAGAGGGCAATATGACAATATATTTATATATTTATCAAAATATACAATATTGCAACCGGTCAAAAACCGAGTGAGAGAGTCCTGACCCACCCCTAAATGAGGTGTAGCAACGTGCTATAACATTTAGCTACGCGCATCAGGGGGAGGTTCCACTTATACTCCAAACTACAGTGTCTTCGGAAAGTTTTCAGACCCCCTTTTTCCACATTTTGTTACGTAACAGCCTTATTCTCAAATGTATTTAAAAAAGAAAATCCTCATCAATATACACACAATACCCCCTAAATGACAAAGCAAAAACAGGTTTTTAGAAATGTTTACTAATTTATATAAAAAATAAAAAAAACGGAAATATCACATTTACATAAGTATTCAGACCCTTTACTCAGTACTTTGTTGAAGCACCTTTGGTAGCGATAACAGCATTGAGTCGTCTTGGTAATGACACTACAAGCTTGGCACACGTGTATTTGGGGAGTTTTTTCCCATACTTCTCTGCAGAGCCTCTCAAGCTCTGTCAGGTTGGATGGAGAGCGTTGCTGCACAGATTTTTCAACATTTTCTTACATTAGAGCCTTCTTCTAAAATGGATTAAATTAAATGTTTTCCTCATCAATTTACACACAATACCCCATAATGACAAAGCAAAACCAGGTTTTTAAACATTTTTGCAAATGTATTAAAAACAAAAAACAGAAATACCTTATTTACATAGGTATTCAGACACTTTGCTATGAGACTCGAAATTGAGCTCAGGTGCATCCTGTTTCCATTGATCATCCTTGAGATGTTTCTACAACTTAATTGGAGTCCACCTGTGGTACATTCAATCTATTGGACATGATTTGGAAAGGCACACATCTGTCTATATAAGGTCCCACAGTTGACATTGCATGTCAGAGCAAAAACCAAGCCATGAGGTCGAAGGAATTGTCCGTAGTGCTCTGAGACAGGATTGTATCGAGGCACAGATCTGGGGAAGGGTACCAAAGAATTTCTGCAGCATTGAAGGTCCCCAAGAACACAGTGGCCTCCATCATTCTTAAATGGAAAAAGTTTGGAACCACCAAGACTCTTCCTAGAGCTGGCCTCCCAGCCAAACTGAGAAATCGGGGGAGAAGGGCATTGGTCAGGGAGGTGACCAAGAACCCGATGGTCACTCTAATAGAGCTCCAGAGTTCCTCTGTGGAGATGGGAGAATCTTCCAGAAGGACAACCATCTCTGCAGGACTCCACCAATCAGGCCTTTATGGTAGAGTGGCCAGATGGAAGCCACTCCTCAGTAAAACGCACATGACAGCCCACTTGGAGTTTTCCAAAAGGCACCTAAAGGACTCTCAGACCATGAGAAACAAGATTCTCTGGTCTGATGAAACCAAGATTGAACTCTTTGGCCTGAATGCCAAGCATCACATCTGGAGGAAACCTGGCACCATCCCTCTACGGTGAAGCATGGTGGTGGCAGCATCAGGGGGGATGTTTTTCAGCAGCAGGGAATTAGAGACTAGTCAGGATCGAGGCAAAGATGAACGGAGCAAAGTACAGAGAGATCCTTCATGAAAACCTGCTCCAAAGTGCTCACTCGCTGTCCAGCGACGCTCTCCATCCAACCTGACAGAGCTTGAGAGGATCTGCAGAGAGGAATGGGGAAAACTCCCTGTCAGTAGTTCCGATGTGGATGTGGTGGAGGAGTCAGGCGCAGGACACAGAGGATACGTCCAAAAGACTTTAATAGTCCAAAGAGCAACAAACAAAACACGACCTCGAAAACAGACGGAGGCGAGGCAATTACGCAAACACGCGTAAACAATAATCCCAAACATAGACAGAGTGCAGACACGCAGCTCTGCACGACAGGCAGAAAATAACAACACACAATCAGACTAATGCAAAACAAGGAATTTATAAGACAAGTAATCAACACACAAATGGACACAGGTGTAAAAGACAGACAAAAGCAATCACACTACGAAACATAGAGCGGTGGCAGCTAGTACTCCGGGGACGGCGAACGCCGAAGCCTGCCCGAACCAGGAGGAGGAGAAGTCTCGGCAGAATCCGTGACAGTACCCCCCCCCCTTGACGCGCGGCCCCAGCCGTGCACCGACCCCGGCCTCGGAGACGGCCAGGAGGACGCGGACCCGGGCGCGTGGGATGCCCACGGTGGAACTCAGTCAGGAGGGATGGATCGAGGATGTCCCTCCTGGGCACCCAGCACCGTTCCTCCGGACCGTACCCCTCCCACTCCACGAGATACTGGAGACCACTCATCCGGCGCCTCGAGTCCAAGATGGTCCGGACCCTGTACGCCGGGGCCCCCTCGATGTCCAAAGGGGGCGGAGGGGTCTCTCCTATCTCATCTTCTTGGAGTGGGCCAGCTACCACCGGCCTGAGAAGAGACACATGGAACGAGGGGTTAATATTTTTGTACTCTATAGGCAGTTGTAACCTGTCACACACCTCGTTCAATCTTCTCAGGACTTTGAAGGGCCCCACAAACCGCCGACCCAGCTTCCGGCAGGGCAGGCGGAGGGGCAGGTTTCGAGTCGAGAGCCAGACTCGATCTCCCGGTGTGTACACCGGTCCCTCACTGCGGTGGCGATCGGCGCTCGCCTTTTGTTGACGGATGGCACGCTGCAGATGGACATGGGCAGCGTCCCACGTCTCCTCCGAGCGCCGAATCCACTCGTCCACCGCAGGGGCCTCGATCTGGCTCTCGTGCCATGGTGCCAGGACCGGCTGATAACCTAAAACACACTGGAAAGGTGTTAATTGGTGGAGGAGTGGCGGAGAGAGTTCTGGGCCATCTCTGCCCAGGGGATGAACCTAGACCACTCCTCCGGCCGGTCCCGGCAATAGGACCTCAAAAACCTACCCACATCCTGGTTGACACGTTACACCTGCCCATTGCTCTCTGGGTGGTACCCCGAGGTAAGGCTTACCGAGACCCCCAATCGTTCCATGAACGCCCCCCAAACTCTGGAGGTGAACTGGGGACCTCGGTCAGACACAATATCCTCGGGGACCCCATAGTGCCGGAACACATGGGTAAATAGGGCCTCAGCGGTTTGTAGGGCAGTAGGGAGACCCGGCATTGGAAGGAGACGACAGGCCTTGGAAAACCGATCCACAACGACCAAAATGGTGGTATTCCCCTGGGAGGGGGGTAGGTCGGTTACAAAATCCACCGATAGGTGGGACCATGGTCGTTGTGGAACGGGCAGGGGATGTAACTTACCCCTGGGCAAATGTCTAGGCGCCTTACACTGGGCACACACCGAGCAGGAGGAGACATAAACCCTCACATCCTTAGCTAACGTTGGCCACCAGTATTTCATGCTAAGACAGTGCACGGTCCGGCCAATACCTGGATGTCCAGAGGAGGGTGATGTATGAGCCCAATAAATAAGACGATCACGAACCTCGA